CGTTTCGTTTTTAATCTAAAAAACCTAAAAAACAGGTTTTTAACTTTTTAACTTTTAACCTAAGTATATATATATATATATATAACTAACTGCAGACAGTACTGTTTCGGCCTTCTGGGCCTCATCAGTGCAGTGCTGATGCTAGGATGGAGGTAAGGCCATATAGCCACCCCAAGTGATCTCACACATGTGGAATCATCTAAGCCATGCCAGAGTGCTCAAACTAGAAAAACTATTGAGCATGCATATATATATATATATGTATATATCACAATATATTGATTAGGCAATAAGGGCTAAAGGTACATGTAGTAAAGCAGTCTGAAGTCCTGCAGTATTACTGGCTGGCTAATTCTTTATTTTGCGCGAGGTTAATACGTCACGGCCATCCCTATCATTAATTGTACAATTTTACTAAGTCGCGAAAAAATATTTCAAAAGCATACATTTTGTTAAATACTTAATATGGTGGTAAGCGCGGTAGATTTAAAAGATAAATAATTGGGCATCGTCCGTAGACGTACATGACAATATCAGATGCAAGTATCAATTTGAACCAACTTTGTTAATGAGGGCTGAAAGGAAACAAAGATAGAACATTTCCACAAGATGTGCGGACATTTACACTTGCAATGATGTGGAACTGATCAAAATTTTCAGTTCTTTTTGCATTTTTCCATCGCGCTCTTTGTTAGAGTAGGGGGAAGGGCGAATAGATTATGCGCTAATTGCAACTAGGATTAGCAAGTAAGAATCAATCACCTGTATTTTATAGGAGTGTGTAGCGTGTGGAATCCAAACAAGGCAACGCGATTAACTCACAGATAGAATGGTGGCCGGCGTCTATTCTTATTTATATGCCCTCGATAATAAACGTCATTTACCTTTTACGACGATAATCCAAAAATTCCTTTGACAGAATTCCCGTGGAAAATTTCTCTTTAATATTAGGGTAACAAGTCGGAACGCGAATGATATAATTATGTAGCCGCGAAATATACTGTGTCTAAATCTCCCCTTTTTTCATAGACAGACAAATTAATCTTTTGACGACAAACTGAAAGAGCAAACCGTTAAAACTGTCAAAACGTTCGATGTAATTAATCCTCACAACATGAGGGTGGCAAAAGGGGTGTTCCAATCACACATCACGCTGAATTTTTCTATTAAATCCCGCATCACGAGTAATGTTCTTAACAAATCACGCGTCAAGTAAAAAAAGGAGTAAGTACACCGAGCAAATACTGTAAGATTTTAACCTATCGGATGTTTTATTAAAAATTTTATTGTATCCAACGTTTTTTATCCCGGAATGATTGCGTTTCACTTGTCATATTGCTTTTTGTTAGACAAATAAAAAAGACTTACTTGTTGAAAGAAGACGCTCCGAGAGCGTCTACTCGGACTTCGTATCGCAATCAAATCCTACTTTACAAGTATAGAACACAGTAAAAACAAATCAAGAATCAGGATATTTAACACAAGGGTTAAGCTTAGGTATTTACTATTCAAGTTGCTTCGTTAAATCAGTCCATGAACCTATTCCCTGAGAATTTCTTCGTAAAATGAATACGCGTATCCCAAGAAATTTCCATTCGGGAATGCATCTCATTTGTCTTAACTGTCGAAACAATCGGTATTTCTGATGGGTCGGTAAACAACCGGAATTTTTTTCCTACTTATGACGATTTGATCCAACTCATCCGTTTTTTGCTTTTGTTTAATTTACAAGATCATGGTTCATGCCCTAGATAGCACTGGCAGAGATTGATCACCTTAAATGTGTTATTATGAAAACTGTGCCGAAGAAAAGTTTAAATAGTTTCTCTACGATCTTTAAGAACAGTAACAACAGGATAATGATTAATCGAATCAGTGTGTTCATGTCCTTTGTCCCGTAATTATGTGCGGAAGACAGATATCAAACATTTGTTTATTATCAGAAGGCTCGTATCTTGCTTCTGTTTTAGACGGAAACAGAAATACGAGAAGGTTATCGTTTGCTTTCTCTTTATTGCGAACAACGTGGAGTACAACGGGTAACGTTTCATTGACCTTGGGAGCACATCAGCTAAAAATAAGCCAATTGACCTTTTTAATTCCAAAGACTTGAACAATAGAAAAATTGACTGATTTTTAAAACCGGCCAAAAAGTTTGCTGATCAGCAGATATCTTTTAATGTTGATCATATCATTTCTTTGTCTTAACCCGTATGCACAAAGTTCTTATTTCTATTTTACACTTTTTTTTCTTTTAAACGCAGATTCCTCCCTGAAATATCAATAATAATTGAGCTTAAATTTTTAATTCCGTCCTTATCTCGCACTTTCTCTCATGCTACGCTGCGCATTTCTCGATAATTGCTTTTGAGGGTAATAAACCATTTAAAGAGGAAAATGAGACCAGTATGCTGGTCAACATCTTGCTGACTGTTGATTTTGCACCTTTGAAGAAAAAGCAAAGACTACCACACCTATAGTAACGACTCTTGTAAGGAACATGTCTTTTTTAAACAGAAGCGTTTCCCCTGGGCAACGATCGAACTTGCCTGTGGCGTCTAATTGTGAAACAGAACTTCAAGAAAACCATCCTGCCGAAGCAGAAGATAAGCTCTTCCTTACCAAAAAGGAAACTGAAACGACTATTGACAGTCAAGAGCAACTGAATGCTATTTCAAACGGGAATATGAGTAGTGTTAGTAGTTTGCTGCAAACTGCTGTCGAGAAGAACGATGCAAGTCAAGGTCAGATATTGTATCGTGTGGCTCTGCTGGCTATGTGCCTTCTCTCAGCAGTTTCTCTTGGGCTCATCTTGCTGATGTTGTTTGGTGTACTTCAAGTTGGTTCACCGCGATGTACCTGCTCTGGAGAAACAGGTATTTGCAGATTTACAAGATGTTTTTTCTAAATTTTAATTCATATCTTCAAATCGATCGTGCGTAAGATACGCTTCTATTTTGGATCAATTTTCGCCGCGAAAGCGAGTCTCAGCCTATGGAAGACCACATACAATTGGCCTGGTGAGGTAAAAAAACATAAATGTTGGTAAGACCACGAAATCCAAACAAATTCGAGGTTGAAAAAGTATGGACAAGCCTGTGACGTACTGCCGATGATTAGCTTATCAAATTTACGCCCAAATTGTGAGGAAGCTTTTTTTATTATCATTATTACTATTATCATTGTTATAGACCTTCGAGTCATAGGTATTGATAAGAACGAACAGAAAAGGATCTCTCGACACTTCCCTGATAACTGCGTTCAAAGGCGTGTTTTTTTTTTTTGTCTGTAATGGTATGCCAACACACTTCTATCTTCCGACATGACTCAAGTAACCTAGGGTAGCGCATCAAAACAGCATTGAACAACAACGGTTAAATATGCACCGGACCCTAGGTGCGATACGTATATGCTTGTTAGTACTCCTCGCGAGAATTTTGAATACCTTGATTGACAGTGATATTCTCTTTATTTACAAAAATCGTCCCCACTCCCCCCTTCCCACGCTTTGAAAGTGTGAGCGATGAATGGAGTTTTCCATTTTTTTTTCTTGGGGGGGTTCGTTTTTCTGTTTTTCTTGGATTCAGTTTAAGTCTCGAAAATAAACTTCCAAAGTTATTGACAGCATTTAAAAGTCATTAACGTATAAGATGATCAGGAAAGTCTCACAAATGTGATTTAAGATGATCCTTCTCCCTGTGGGGTCGATTCTTGAGCTCTAAGGTCAATCACAATGACGAAACTACATTCACTGTTACCTGTTCAGACTGAAACATTTAACCTATTGCAAAAAAAGTTATCTTTTTTTTTGCGGCTTACCTACAGTTATCTACACTAACACAAAACTTAAGTTTGTGTTTGTGTTGTAGAGTTTTGTGTCAGTGTTGCGGATTTTGTGATTCTGTTTTAAGTTTGTGTTTGTGTTGTAGAGTTTTGTGTTAGTGTTGCTGATTTTGTGATTCTGTTTCAAGTTTGTGTTTGTGTTGTAGGTTTTGTAACCTTGTTTTGTTCCTAGCGGCCACCGTAATTTCATCCTTTTATAAACATTGAGCATCGAAAGATGTGAAAAATGTTCAAACAGTGCAAAAGAGCATTAGGGGAGTAAGCGGTAAACATAATCCGGAAAGCCGAAAATATTGAATACCCTAAATTGTTCGTGGTAATCAAATTTGAAAAAACAACGAAGCCTATTTTTGCATAGTAATTATTTTCTAAAAACTCCTTGGATCTCAAGAAGTATAGGAACATCCAAGTTTTAATTTCTAAACCGTAGTGAATGAGTTGCCAGTAATCGGATGCTTGTGTTTGCGGCAAAGATTTCTGGGATCGCCAAGGGGCAAACATTGCAAGTTGCTAGAGGGGAATATATGGCGAAAGGTTGTGTCGAGATCCAAAAGAACCATTTTGGAGATAAGGCATCGCTTTTTCCTGCTGTTTCATCATAAATCGATTTAGGTAATGTTGATACGAGGGAAGCATAAGTTTTTCATTGAATAACCATGATATGTGATAAAACCTACTGATAAATTTCCCCAAATTTGCATCGCATAATGGTCTCGAAGCTTAGAAAAATTAGCTAGGAAATAAATCCACAAAACCTTCTCAGTTTTATTTCATGTATTGAGTCTACTTTTGGCTTTTTTCTTGGCTTGGTGATACCAAAGAGCTACCTCGAGGCAGCTCGAGATTGAAATGGTTTACCTGAACATAACATCACCATGTCACGTTGAAGAAATGTAAAATGGATTCCGTGTTTACATAGCCTGATGTAAACACGCGGGAGGTTGGGAGAACACGAGATAAGCGTAGGAAACCACGACGCAAAGCGGAGTGGTTTCCGGCTTATCGAGTGTTCTCCCAACCTCCCAAGTGTTAACATCAGGCTATGTAAACACAGAAACCATTTTACATTTCTTTTATAAAATAACTAATGAAAGAGGAACGAAAACCGTGTTTACGTACGCTCATGTAAAATGGTTTTATGGCCATCAGAGCGCGCGTACTATTTGAATTATTTTATAAAAAGTGATTTAACACTTAAGTTGACCTTAGCTACAAGGAGCAATCCTTCAATCATAATAGTTATCCTTAATAAATAAAATCGACTAACGTATTATCATTTTTGTCTCTTTGAACTATACAACTAATAATTGTCTACTTGGAAACTGTACCCAACAGCTTAATGCAGTCCTCTGCAAACTTGATATCGTCTGTTCTTTCATACATTCATTTCCACCAGGGGCGTCAGAGCTTGAAAAGAATATGCAAGAGATGAAAAGGAACCTCTCGGCTCTGCGAGAATATTCGGTAAGAGAATTTTTTTTTCATTTGAATTAATGGGTGAAGTACAAAAGCTCGCTGATGTATATTTTGCGCACAGTATGTACACTAGATTACGGATTTCGAAAATTTTGTAACAGCTACGATTGGTCGAAATAGTTATAAAACAATTTTTCTCCATTGATTTGTTTTGACTTGTCCCCTAACTCGACAACAAAATGGAAATCCGTTTATAAGCCAATGAGATTACGAGTGTCCTTCGTTGCTTCAAAAAAATTTTACGCTTACCTTTGATCTATACCCTTCTCTCGATGAATAATTACATATATTTCTCACCAAAAAGCTTTCTTCTAAGAGCCCCATTTTCCAGCTACTGTCTCTTATAAAATTCTTAATCCAATCTATCTTTTAAACATTCACTGATACCTCGTGTATTGGCGTATGGGGAATCAATTATAGCAGTTTTGGCAGCAACTGATTTTTTCTATTTTTAGCATGAAACATATCTTTACTCAGGCAGATAAAAAACTCTTACGAGCCCAACAGATGTCAGCAAGTCATCTTGATCATTAGTCTCATTTAAATTATTGTTCTTTTTTATGCTTCTTGTGATCTACACTGATTGATGCCACCCGCAGATTGACAATTTTTGGGGGCGGTAGGAAAAACGTGACATTACCTTAAATATTTATCTTATGTTTCATCCATTATAGAGCACCATATTTTGCTCTTTTTCAGGACCAAAATACAAAAGAAATCTGGATCGCAATACAGAGTGCACCCTGCACATTGAACGAACTAAACACAAGTGTGAATGAAAAGCTTCTTGATTTTCGACAGCAAATCCTGCAACTTGATCAAAAGGTGCGTGCAGCTAAATGTAGTTAAGGACTAACTGAGCACTTGGAGCTTTGGTCGCTAATTTAAATATATAAAAAAATAGCGGCCCTAAGTTACATAAACTCAAGTAGGCGACGTTACTTATATAACATCAACTTAAAAGCTATAAAGCTACATTGAATGGAAAGGCTGCTAATTTTTAGCTGTTACGATTTTGCATCAGTAAAAGTTCACTGGTTTCAACTTTTCATGCTTGTTTCGTACACCAGAAAATAATATTCTTAGGAAAAAAGGAACCCAAGATCTGGAGATTTTCGACCAAAATAACACACGACAAGAACATAGAAAGGTATCTCACTTAGATTATTACGCACTCCCAATGTAAGCCTGATAATAAGGCCTACCTTAGAAGTCTTGTGTCAGGCAGTACTTCCCTTGGTAGTTGTTCGTCCGAAATTAATTAAGATCACATGATTTCCGCAGACCGCAACAATTAAACGTTTTGAGAGATCCTCTAAAATCTCAACTACCGCCTAACTTGAGAGTTGGCCAAGGTTTTCCATATTTTTAAGATATTTTTTTCTCGTTATTTGTTTCGCTTTTGCTTCAGTTTTGCTCTCCCTTTGTGAGAAGCACAGTTGATTTATTTACAGCAGTACAACACAAAGGTTTATTTAATTGTCTAGGTAAAAAATACAAATAGCAGCAGGAGCATCATAGGACCACCTGGAGTCAATGGTAGTAATGGTGACGTTGGACCTACTGGACTTCCCGGACCACCAGGATATAATGGTACTAAGGGTGACATTGGACCTACCGGACCTGTCGGACCTGCCGGACCTCCAGGTTATAATGGTACCAAGGGCCCTGCAGGACCATCTGGACAACCTGGTGTTAAAGGCGTTCGTGGACCATCTGGGCACAATGGTACTCAGGGCCCACCTGGACCTGGGACCAGTTCATGTGTTTTTAAGACTTCATCCAGCTCTGGAATGACAGCAGACCCGGCCGCTACACAAGAAGTTCAAGTGACGGAACCAAACGTAAGTCACTGATCAGCTCTATATAGGGTACGGAAGAAAAAAAAACAAAACAAAACAAAAAACAAGCAAACAAATCTTCTATTGAAAACTACTTTACGACATTTAACACTCATAAGACAAGATTTAAGACAAGATTTGAGACAAGATTTGAGACAAGATTTAAGACAAGATTTACCGGTCCAAAGAGTTGTCCAGAGTCTTAAAGCTTCACTTGAATTCAGCAAGTTCAATTTTTTTATTTTTGAGAATTAAAGCCAATTTCCCTTCTTTTAAGTCGTAAATCATGTATAAAAAAAACAAATAAAAAAAAAACAAAAAACGGCAGGTTAAAAAAAAAGAGAAAACATTTAACAACCTGTTACGGACAAGTCCATTTTTCCTTCTTGCGTTCTAAGATGCGAAGGTTGTATTTATGATAACATGATTTCGGAAGGGAAAATTCGCAATAAGGATTCCCCGATTGTAGCCTTCGGCTTTCTTTAAGTCAAGTGTTCACTCACTGAAAAGATTGTACACTTGCCTATAAAAGTCAAGTGTTCACTTACTGAAAAGATTGTACACTTGCCTATAAACAAAGAGGAAATCATTTTTTTGTTCTTCCGCATTTCGCACTCCTGACGTAATTTACCATTATCATTAGTATCATTTTTTTACTTGCCAGGGTAGGATCTTTATCGGCGTAAACTGTGATACAAATGACGCGAAAATTGCTAAATTATCAAGCACCATCTCAGCTGGAAAGAGAACCTACAAGTGCAATTGTGAAGGTACCCTAACAACTGGAGAACCAAAGACGTATTGCTACATCCACTACTGGGAGTGTCAGTTATAGGGAGGAAAGCGGAAAGCCGTTTGATGAAGAGGAGTCTTTGTAAAGAGAATAACAGAGTGTTGAATCAGAAACGAGACTGAAATTTTTTTTTTTTTTTACCTTTTTACCTTTTTAACATGAGTGCTATTTTTCAAATATGCCCAGTAAAAGCCAAATCAATAATTACAAAGAAATATGAAAAGAAAAGCGAAGCCAAAAATAACGAAAAAAGTCTGTGTGTTTTTTGTTTGACAATTTCCCCCTGGAAAAATGGGTCAAATCCTAGAAAAAAAAAGTGTGTATGTGTGTGTGTTTTTTTCTTCTTTTTTTTTCCAGTTTCGAGGAAATAGACCAATTTCCCCTTGAGGACTATGTTTCTATGGATCACTAGTGTTCAAAAAGCAAAAACGTCTATGTCAACAAATCCAACAGAACAGGTATAAGATACATCATTTCTGCTTGACTCCATCGGTAGACAATGTAATGAATTACGAAAGTTAATTCTGAAAACTATACCTTTGTCATAAACTTATTTTAAGACATAACCGTTCCAGATTTTCCTTATTACCGTTATTAAAAAAATGAGAGGCTATTCTACACACATCCTCCTGCAATCTCATTACCCTGGCTTTAAAACTGTTGCACGGTTTCGTGATTGTAAACCACAAATGAAATAAGCCAGAGCCTGCAACTGTTTTTTTCTAAAGAACACTACAGAGTGTTGAACCAGAAGTGACACGAAGGATAATTCAGTTGTCTATCACAAGTGCTACAATAAATATTACCAATTGCCTGCTATGTGATATCCATAACATAGCCTAGACATAGCGCGCGTTCTGATTGGTCGAAAATCTATCTTTTGTTATCCCCGTAACAACATAGAAACAAAAACAAAGGAACTTTTCCTCCTCAGTGAGCAGTTTAAGGAAAACTGCAGTTCTTCCACTTTTTACCGCGCAGCGAAAGTGAAGGCTTAAAACGGTCACGGTGCAAACAGGTAGTTCAACTGTTGGTTAAAATTTGATAAATGTTAGAAAACCAAAATTTCTCTCGTTTTTTTCGGTGTTCAAAGTGCTGTCTTCGTTTTCCATCAAACCAAAAGTCTTGATAAATTATAATCTCAAAATTCGTCCCGTGTGGCGCCATTTCTCCGGACAGGAAGTACCGTGCTGAGGTGTAATAATTTCCTGTCTGGTGTAAAGGACGCATAATCAAAATTTTCAACTGAATTCTATGACACACGGCTGACTAATGCAATATTTGTTTGCTTCGCTTTCAATTCAGTACTAAACTCTACCACCTCGCCTCGGTGATAATCAAATTTCTGGAATTCTGTTAAAGCTAATCGAATGCTGTTATAGTAGAAACGAATTGGTGGATATGAAAAAGTTCATAATTAGGGAATAGATCTCAATATCATATACATACTGAGATTTACTCAGTTTTCTTCATGAGAAAACCCGCTCAAAAATTCTGTAGTCAATCGCAGCATCGAAATGGCTTTCTCACACGTGCGTAAACCGTTTCGTCAAATCCGTAGAGACTTGTCAAAACGTACCACTGATTTCATTCAACAACTTCAAGTTACTTGGGTGCAAACCTCCTCTGCGAAAAAACTTTGTACCAATGGTACAATAATAATAGTAATTTTAACAATGATTTGAGCATTTAGAGAAGTCAAGTGACAACTACACCATCGAGCAACAAAACAAATATACGAGAGCTAAGACGACGAGAGATGTGAAGCCACTCCCATTGAATTCTGAGAGGAAAACACGGGCAAAGAAATCCGGAAGACATCGAAGCCAAATAATCGGACGAATATATCAACGAGTTTATCCCTAGTGTGAAGCGAAAAGAACCTTTGAATCTTTATTAAAAGTGCCTATGACAAGAAACTTTTTTTTTTCAATTTTCTGGTTAATAACTGTTTTTAAAATTAGAAATAATCGACCTTAGGGCCTAGCGAGTTCTCCTTGAGCACTTTTTTGCGCATTGACAGTAGGATCCCCATAAATTATGCGCGTGGCCAAAATGTTACTTAGCTGTGACGTAGAAAACTGTGAAGGCACGCTGGCAACTATGGTGGAGAAAGGAGAAATATAAAAGAAAGGAAGAACGTATTGCGTGGCCGGAGCACCAAATGATGTTAGCTACAAGAATAATACACATATAGCGGATATTTCCATACACTTCTTTCCAAAGGATGTAGCTTTATGGCCAAAATGGACACGTTTCGATCGTCGACATCGAGGAGATTTTAGTCTTCAATGTCGTCGGCCTTATGCTCCGTACCGGCTTCGAAGACGCCTGTTACGAACACATATCACTAGCCTAGTCAGGGCAAGATAACTTTTGAATTCAGCTGAAAAGAATGCTGATTAAGGGGTCTGTTCCCGCACCGTAAGCGATTTTTCGACATTCTTTTCGGCTGACATTTTGCAAGCGAAGAATGGTGAGTTCGTTATTGTTGTTTATTTCACGCACTTGAGACGCTTTTCACATGACTACATTTGCGCTTTTCTTATCCTATTAAAAATCCTACTAGTTGTGCGTAGTTTTCATCGTGTCTAAAAACAGAAATACATCATTTGTAATGAAGTTCAAACCTTTCCTGAGCTGACCGATATCCTGTTGCGTGAACATTGCGAAACCTCTGGCGGCATAAACACAATCCATCAATTTCCCCCTGCCCTCAAGAAACTAAAAGTAGCAATGTCACTGTGATAACAGCACTGAAACGAGATAAATAAAGAGACAAAAATTTTATTGAATTAGATGGTAGCGAATCTAAGTGCAGTGTGAAAATTAAAGTCGATGCGTACAAAATATTCATTTATAATGCTGATGTCAGTTATTTCCTTTGAGCAGAATGGGTCAGACAGCAATGCCGCACTTAAACTAAAAAAGTTTTTCTCCACTAAAAACCCTATTTGAGATTAACTTGAATCAGATGACTATAAACTCACTCGTTTTCCGTTCGGTCTGACCGGTTAGACGATCGTGATAATGGCTTCTGCCTTTGCAATCTCTGAGGAAAGGTGTAACTTGCCCGATTGCTTCTCGGTAAAAAATAATCGTGCCTCGTGATACAGCTGATTCTTTCGTCAAAAGTTAGCTTATGGTTTACTAAGGGAATTTCTCGTCAGGAGGGGGGCATTGGGATTTTCGGTTTTGCGGTTCTGGCTATTTTTTTAGATCGGTTTTTCGGTTTTTGTTCCAAAAAAACGTCGGTTTTTCGATTTTGGTGTTCATTGCGGTTTGCGGATTTTCCGTTTTTTATTTTTTTATTTTTTTTTTTTAGCGAAAAATACAAACGGGTTTTCGGATTTGATATCCGATGTGGTTATCGGTTTTTCCAATTAGACCTATTTGGGTTTCGGTTTCTCTTCGACCTGAGCGGCAACTACGCGCCCCCACTGATCTCGAATAGCCGCTATAACGCAGGCTATAAACGCAAATGTTATCGAGAGGAATGCGTGACAAACCAATTGAAATATCGCAGGGATCCCTTAGTAGCCAACGTGTAGCCGAACCCTCCTCCTCCCCTAAGATGGGGGGGGGAGGGTACGGCTATACATAGGGTACGGCTAAGCACGGATCATTGCCAGAGTTTCTTTATCAACACCACCTCGAAGTTGGTGACCAAGTTACAGGCCACACGTGCCTGATTGATTAAACATTCCAATAGAATCTCCAAACTTTTAGGTCTTAGTTCGCAAATGGAAATGTTAGATTAGGGATTTTCGATGAAACTTTCCAGAGCTATAGCTTTATGCGACTGCAAAATTGCAATCCTATCAAGGACTTTTGTGCGAATTTCATTAATCTAATTAGGCTCCATTACCAGCTACTGAATCCGCAGAGACCACGCTCTAGGTCCTCGAAAGCGCAGCTGTTAATTTAAACAGGTAATAAAAGATACGAATGTCAAGTCCATGGTATTCATAAATCCTGTCATGAAATTAGTGTAGTTTACTCTGTATGCTCCACTTGTCACCACTGTATCGGATCGATCAGGGTTTTTATAACTGGAATGTGGGAATGTATCGATTTTGACAGTTTTGCAAGCGGTTTTCGGTTTTGACCGATTTTTTTTCGGTTTTTCGGTTTTGGATGATTTTTTCTACGGTTTTGCGGTTTCTAATGGGCCCCAATGCCCCCTTCCTTCAGCAACGAAACTCCAGAGCACTTACTGAGGGGAACCTTCGCCGCACATAGTGCGAAGGAATCAAAATGTTAGAGTAACAGAAACGAACACAGGTACCTATTCTTAACATAGTTTTCGCCTTAAAAAACAAAACACAAACGCAGCAAACTAAACATTCAGTGAACGGAATTTTTTTGTTCTAATCTTGACCTAAACACCGCAGGCGAGAAACCGTGTTTTCAGTCTTCGTTGAAATTTTCGTCTGAAAACGCGGTCCTTTTTCGTAGGGCTGAATCGTACTCGCAACTTCCATTTCTTCGCTACTACTTGAGTGCAATGTATCACAACTTTCGGTAAAGCTTGTTGAAGGTTTGTATACATCGCTATCTGACATTATTATTTCAACAATGGCTGATACAAAATTACAAGAGATGTGAGAGATTTGTAGGTGTCAACTAGGAATTTTCACAGTTTTCTACGTCATCACCCTCTAATTTGTTACCAGTTCACGGGACACTTTTAAGACAAAATAAGAGCATTTTAGGACCCAAAAATAACCGAGTGTTAGGGCTTTTTTTAATTTTTCTTCTTTCATAATTGGTATTTACATATGATAAGCTAAATATTTACGCGAAAAAAATTGTGCCATAAGCACTTTAAGTCTTAGAGGTCTGTTAAGAAGTTTTAATCGACATTTGAAAGAATGTATCCCGTCAGTGTCATCGAAGACGTTACTTATGAACGTGCAAGAAAATGTCTCGAAGCTAAAAACAAGCAACTTTAAAAGGAGGGCAAAGCCGGGTAATAGACCCAGTGCAGCAGAAGCCCTACGCGATGATGAGATCAATATTCTCTGCGGAAAAAATCTCCT